GCAGTGCGGCGCTCGGGGGGCTGTTTCGGCGGCACAGCGCTCAGGGGGGTGTTTCGGTGAGGCGGCGCTCAGGGGGGTGTTTCGGTGTGGCGGTGCTCAGGGGGTGTTTTGGCGGCACGGCACTCGGGGAGGTGTTTCGGCAGCGCTCGGGGGGATGTTTCGGCGGCGTGGCGCTCGGGGGGGTGTTTCGGTGGGGCGGTGCAGTGCTTGGGGGGGCTGTTTCGGCGGCGTGGCACTTGGGGGGGTGTTTCGGTGGGGCGGCGCTCTGGGGGGGTGTTTCGGTGGGGCGGCGCGGCGCTGGGGGGGGTGTTATGGCGGGGCAGCGCTCTTTTTTTTTTGTTTGGGGCAGCAAGAAAGTTAGAGCCAGCCCTGGTGCTAGCTCAGCTTCTCCCCTGACACCACGCCCTGTTCCTAGCCCCGGTTCACAACCCTTGGGGTTTTGGTATTTTCTCCCCTAGCTTTCTCGTCCTTCCCCTTGTTGCCTCTGGAAAAGGGAAGAAACAAAAGAAATTAAACCCAAAAGTATGCTGACCGACACCCCCCCTCCACTGCTGCAAATCAGTGGGCTCCACTGAAGCCTGATTTTTCCCCAGCTGAGGATCTGGCCCTAGAAGTATATAACTCAGCCAGGCATTTGTCACTGAACGGCTGCACCCAGCCATCTTTCACGTCTGCCAATAGTAATGTATGATTCTAATGGAAAATAATTTGGTATAAGAAATCATTGGCCCAGGATTCCAGCAGCCTTTAAACGTGTACTGAACTTCTCACCCCAATTACGCTGATGTAATGGGTTGTGATTTGTTTTTCTTCATTCCCAGAGTGCTGGGGCTCCAGCCACATTAACATGCAATGGGAAGCTGTTCAGAACTGAGTCATTTTCCTCAGCAGTATTTGTTCTTACACAATTTTAGTTGCTAGCAACCCACTTTAAGTTTGGTGAACACTTACTGACTGCGGAAGAAGCGGCCTAGCCGGCCTAGCCGGCCTTTCCATTGATTGCTCTTTCAAATGGATGTTAGAGCTGAGAAGAGAAAGATGTTGCAAAACAACAGTTTGCCCTGCTGTTCCCCAAACCCAAATGTAAAAGAGAGACAGTTCCTGATGTGGTGCTGCCTGCATGCACCTGCTTCCTGAGGTTACGCTGCACTGATTTGCAAATTTCCAAACTGTACACGCATGTGGTTGTGAGTGAGTGATTAAGAATGAATTCCTCTTTACAGGCCACTTCAATTCCTGCATGCATGCAGCCTGGCACAACCGTCATCAGCCTGGCTGTGCATTGCACTAAAAGACACTTGAAAGTTTGCGTATTTTATCTCTCAGTCTGTGGTTTTGGTCATTTTGTTTAAAAAAAATTTTTTTAAACAGCATTACTGAACCTTGGACAACATCAGCAGGCTTGTTTGACATCCAAAATACTGTCAATTACAACATCACAAGCACATTTTGACATATTAACATGTGCAAAAGTATTATATGTGTGAACTGAAATATTGACGCTCTGGGGCACCGGGTTGGGTACAAAGCAGTGAACCAACAGGGTAACACTGAAAGTTGAAGATTTCATACATTTCATACAACTTGTGACCATTTCTTTGGAGCAGTTTATGGAGTCACGTCCTGTCGTCAGGGGTCCACTTGGAGCTGAGCACGTTAGGGTCTGGATGCACTAGCAGTAAGGTGCAAAGCAGTTGCACCGCACAGGAGTATCTGGGCCAATGTTTGTCTTTTGTTTTATTATGACCTATTTCCTTGTCATAAACGATTACAGCGTAGCGACTTGCATTAATCAATCAATTATCATTAAATGCTGTAGCCAGTGAACTGAGCGGCTGGCACTGTTTAACAAGTAGACTAATTCATTTGTATAAAATTCACACTATCATGGGGATTTTCCGAACAGCATGATTTTTTGCATGGGTACATATATGCACACCCACGCACACCCACACACACCAAGCCACACGCATACACACACTTAGATTGTAAGGTCTTTGGGAAAGGGACCCTCTTTTTGTTGTGTTTGTACAGCGCCAAACATCCTGGCCCTTCACTGGGGGCTACCTGCTGCTACTAAAAAACACGTACATCAACTAAAACACACACATACATATGGGCACACACACACACACACGGGATGGGGTGGCGTGAAAGGAAGGTGTACCTGTTGGATTTTGACCTCAAATTCAGTTTGTTCCTGTCAATACTGAGACTTCTCTTTTCTCTTCCAGCGTCTATGTATTCAGAAATACAGAGGGAGCGTCCTGAGGTTAGGAATTTCATGTCTCACCCAGACTACATAGATGGAAATCCGGATCTCATCAAACCTAAGAAGCTCCTAAATCCTGTAAAAGCCTCGAAAAGCCACCAGGAGCTCCACAGAGAGCTGCTTATGAACCACAAAAGGTGAGGCAAAGATGCAAACGCCTCTTCAGCTGCCTTTGCATTGGGCTGGACGAGAGAGACTGTGGTTTCTGGTGTCACATCAGCTCAGGAGTGACTCGTCAGAAAGCCGCAGTCTGGGGTTTTTGTGGTAAAGCTCTTTATTGTTATGGGCAAATAGCAAAAGGTGTGAAACAGGCTACGGTGGGAGGCGGCGTCTCTCTGCCATGCTGTGACCCAGATTGTAAACAAATCGCTCCGTCATTCGGAAAAGCTAGGGAGTTCCTAAATGCCGGGCCTGCTTTTTGGAGCTGCAGAGCGCTCACCAGCCACTCCAACAGAAGGCAGTGGGAGCTGCAGGTGCTGTCTTGTGTCCCACAAACATGCCCCCCTCCTGTCTTACTCCCCCGCCCACCAGGCAATGCCGTGATTTACAGCCCTTCTATGGCTCTTGGAGTGTTTGAT